AGGGGTATAAGGAGCTGTTTTATGTCTCCTAATCCCATTTTCAGTACAAAACTGATCAAACTCAGCATTACAAAACTCAAGACCATTGTCAATCCTAAGAGTCTTAATTTTCTTTTCAGTTTGGTTCTCTATTAACACTTTCCAAGTTTTAAACTTCCCAAAGGTTTCAGATTTATGTTTTAACGGGTAAACCCAAACCTTCCTAGAATAGTCATCAATCAAGGAAATAAAATATCTATTTTCTACTTGAGAGATAGTGGATGAAGCCCCCATAAATCAGAATGTATATATTCAAGAATAGAGGTAGATTTATGCTTTCCAGTGTTAAAATGTAATATGTGTTGTTGTCCTAAAGTGCAGTTTTCACAGAAGGGAACTTTAGATATAGAGTCATTCCTAAAAACACTTTTCTTATGAAGGATATGTAGGCCTTTTGCACCTACATGAGCTAATCTCTTGTGCCACTTTAGAGTGGCATCAAGTTCAGCATTGGAAGACTCGGCCATGTGATCAACAGCACTAGCCTTTACTACATAAATCCCATTTCTTTTAACACCTTTAAACATCACAAGTGATCCTCTCATCACCTTCAACAAGCCATCACCAACCTTACCTTGTAAATCTAAATCATCCAAATTTCCCATTGAAATCAGGTTCATGTTCAAATCAGGAACATATCTTACCCTTTCAAGGGTAAAGATATACCAATGTTCAAATTTCAATGTCACATTTTCAATGCTTTCAACTCTGCGGGCAATGTTGTTTCTCATGACTACCTCTCATCCATTAATCTTCTTAAAGGAGTCAAACCAACTCCTTTTAGGAGTCATGTGGAAGGTGCAACCAGAATCCAAGATCCATTCTTGGATCTAATTTCCATCATTAACAACATTGGCAGAATCACAATCAGATGAGGGTTCAGTCACCACTTAAACATCAACAGTATTTTTTTGTATATAATAGATTTGATACAAATACTAAGAGGTCGTTCTCTTTGCTATTTTCATGCATGCCGTTTTCTGTTTTCAATTTTTCAAAACAGTGAAAACACGTTTTCTTTCCTATTTTTGAAAAAAAAAATTGTACTAAAAATTCAAAACGTCTTTTTTGACATTTTAAGTATTTTCAAGCAAAAAACATGAAGTGAACCCAAAACATGGAACGATGACCCCTGTTTCTCCTTGGTGAACTACCAACTATGGAGCCTCACTCTTCCATCTTCCGGCCACCACGCCCACAATACACGACCACCAATAGCATCACCATACTGCCTTCTACAACTTCCAACCAACCATCAGCCAAAAAAATTAGATTTAGCAGAAATTTTAGCCCAAAAAACCATTATGGCACAAATTGTTTCTGTCGGAAATTCCACCTCCCGTGACGGTCAAGGTCGCGCACTACCACCGGTCCATTGCCATCCTCAGATGACTCCAGACATGGACTCAATTTACTCCAAACAACACCTCAAAATCCTGAATTAAACTCCAGTCGCAAAGCCTTCGACACAGGGTCCGAACTTTTCAATTTCTGTCGCCATCCGATCGACCCATGGTCGCAGACCATATGGGTTGGTTCTTCTCCCCTTAGTGCATCTTCCCAAACCATGGGTCAAGCCCAATTTCAACCAAACCTTGAAGAATTCATAGGTGAAGTTAGGGTTCCTTGTGAAAAATTTGGTACAAGCGAATTTGATGAATCTATGTTACTCCA